ACGAAAGGGTTTCCTGGGTCTAACTTTTAGTTAACTTGGTCGTAATCAACTGAAAAATTGCATTAACCAAGTTATTAATGGCATTGTGAATGATGAGGTGAGCAAAGTGTAGCTAGTAGGTAATAAATCGTGAATCTTCCCATCTTCTCCAATGTTAGAAAGTGTCACTGATGTAGCTGAAACTTCATGATAGTACTTTCCTTGAGATACAAAAAAAAAAAAAACAGTTGTACAATGTAACTACTGCGCCCTGTGTAACTACATAGTACTAGTAGGCACTCTACCATCCAAATCCATACCCATACCAACTTTAACTGCCTACGTACCACTAAGCTGTGCCCGGATGTCCTGAAGCATCTTCAGCTGCTCATAGATAGAGACATCACCAATGCTGGAGCCCAGGAACAGCAGTAACTTGGCACCAGTTCTGGCGGCAGAGTGTCGTACACCGTCCATGAACATCCCACCAAAGGGTTCCACAGTTAGGCCGGCATAGTCTCTCTGCAGCTGCCGACCACAGGTCTCAATAAATTCTGTTTCAGAGCAAGACGATGAACAAATCCTCAGCAAAAAAATCCGTGTTTGTGGAAACTTATAATTATGACATGCACTAGCATATCAAGGATTTCCCAAAAGAGTGGCTTCAAACAAAGTTTCCCAGGCACAACTATACTACATGTAGGCCCCAGTCCAACACTGAGTGCTACTTGTGACCCTTATAATGCCGTTAGATATCTACTGCTGAAGATAGAACACCCCTACACCCATAGTATTATAAGAAATAATTCTGGTACCCTTTGCCGTGTCCACTGGCACAAACGTGAACTTCCCGTGCCGCTTCAGTAGAGCCTCTATGATCAGCCGAGTCTTGGAGGAAGCAGCACTGCCGAGGTCAATAAGAACGGCTGGGAATGAGACTTTGCTGGCGATGTCGTCTGCGTGGCTCCGAAGTATGTTATATTCGTGGTGCCAAAGTTTGTAGCTCTTTGATGTTTGTATCATCCTGTAAAAATGAACAATGAAACCAAGTATGAATCATGTATAACTCACTAGTAATTAGAACATAGCTTTTGTAATGTTAAAGATAACAAAATATGAGAGTTCCACAACCTCATACCTTTGCCAGATGATGTTAACCTTTATGACTGACGTCAGTAACGAATTGTAAAATACGTTTTCTACTGAATATGCAAATAAGATCCTTATTTCAGTTCATCATATTCTCCACCCAATAAGTCTTAATTTACTAAACTTAAGAAAGCTATTCTAACATTTCCCCATAAATCATGCAAAGCTGATTAAAGTAAGTATACATGTATAATAAGTATATTGATTGATGTTCACCTTCTTTTAACTTCCAACTGCGGTAAGTATGAAATTCACGGCAAATACCTCTATGACATTACAGCATTTTCTCTTCCAAGTTTCATGACAATTCATTCATAGCTTCTTGAGTTATAGTGCCAAACCAGATATACAAACATACATACGTACACGCAAATGCTATCAAAAATTTAATTTTCTGGCGAAGGTAATAACGTTAACGTCACTGTAATGACTAACAGTTATATACCATCATGTATATACTCACTCCTCGCATAGCTCCGACCCACGTGTATCGTACAGGTACCATAGTGGCACGTGTCTGCGCTGGGAAGTCAGACACTCCACAACTCGCATCAGCTGGTCAGGTTCGTTGTACAGGCTGGTGGCGTCATCACTACCGGTGGTAGGGATTTCACTGGCTCGGGAATCCATCAGGTTCTCCTTCTTATGTAGATATTCTTAAATTCTCTATTGTATAGACATGGATACAAAAATGTCCTACCTTGATAAAAGGGGGACAACAAGTTGGCGGTGTCATCAGAACACCCCCCAAAAGTTACCAAGCAGCTTTTGTCATGTAAATCATCAGTAACTGGTCACCATACAGATTATGTGGTACATGTGGTCTACACTTCTGTGGGCAACCTCCCATACAGGCTTCTGAAATTCAATACTCTGTTCAATGATGCTGAAAGTAATACCAAACCCATGCAATTGTTTCCCATCTAAAAGACGCTTTGAAAAATAACAGTCTTATTTTGTTTAGACAGTCTTATTTTGCACTTGACAGAAAATACATAAAGGGTTATTTGTTGCCATCAACCATGACTGCATGGTTGATGGCAACAAATACTAGTAACCCTTTCTGTATTTCCTGTCAAGTGCAGCCTTCTAAACAAAATAAGACTGTTATTTTTAAAAGCGTTCATATGTCAACTCAAAGCTATGCTTCCAATGCTACCTAAAGGAGTCTGAGTGTCACTATTCTTGTTGACTTGTGCAAGGTTCATTGCAAAACCACCAAAGGGCAGTTGCCATGCAGTTTTACCATTGGTAAGATTTTCTGTGCCCAATTTCAAGGGCTTTGCCATGAAGTTTAGGCAACAGCAAGTAATCTTGATGGATGCACAGTGCTCACATTAATTTTCTTCAGATTTTGAAAAAAAAAAAATTTTGTTGCCCTCTGACAGTGGTCAACATGCTGAAAATTGACAAATATGTCTGTTACCATGCCAGAATGTGGATGGTTGATAAATATGAAGAGAGGAGACAAGACAAGGCTATGATTTAATGTATTTTTCTATTACTTTGATACAGTGATGTATTTCATTCCCTTTATATGTAATGGTGGCTGTGTATATGTGATGTTCCCACTGATTCAAAACCATTTGTACTATGATTGAAATTTGAAAACTTTCATTTTTTAAAAGTTGTTTCAGTGAGAAATGGATGTTGTAATAGTTGGCAGCACAATATAGGCATCATTTCTCGTTCAGCAAGGTTTACGATGTCAAAATTTAAAATGTAATGTTAGGAATCGTTTTTTTGGGGCCCACCTTGTTTTTTTTGCCCTATCACATTAGATTGAGTCTGCAGAGGATGTCATCCATAAAATTTATTTGCTGTGGCCTTGTGTTTCTTGTGCCAGTTGTGGTTGTGGTTATGAGGGGAAGAGGCTTTGTCTATTTTGCTTCTTTCTCAGCATCATTTGGCATTACTCAGTTACTGAGGATATTAGCCTGTGTTAACACAAGCTCTAGGATGGAGGCATGCCCACCATTAACGTGATTTAGTTACTAAATAATAGGCTACTGAGGATATCAACTGAACAACACCACACATACATGTATGCAATTAAAACTAGTAAAAACAAGTTTAAGCAGGTGCATCTTAGGTGAGCACATATTTATATGTCAACAAACCTGAGTAGCTATCATGAGTTATTTTTATTACTTTTTTCAGGAAGACTAACTATATGTATTTACAAATGTTTGTAAGTTAATCAACTAGATAAAGTTCCATGTACATGTATCAGTGATGTTCAGATGCTGACATTGGTGGTATTGCTGGGAGAAGCTTGTGGTCTGATGTTAGTGGGGATGATGGAACGCCTGTTTGGCTCGCAGCTCCTGCCATTGAGAAAACAGGTGTTATGAAATCCAAATTGTTTATGTTGGGAGGAAATGACAGATCACAAAGTTATCTGTGAATACAATAGACAGCTAATAGAAGTCAAAGTTCTGAACATCCCCTGCTTGATAAATCTGGGTAAGTCCAATTTTTTTCCATGTTAAAAGTAAAGGACATTATAGTCTTAAAGTCTTTTCATATTAGAATACACTATTTATTGTGACTGTTACATGAACTGTGTAATGTTACATGCATTAATTTATCAGAACATGAATGTCAAAATGTCATGCAGTGATGGGATGAAAAACAAAAGTTACTGTCATCTCACCTCTTGTTTCCTCTGCTGATTTTGCCACAGCTCTATGGCTTGGTCTAAGGGAAGTTCATGGGCTATACCATGTTTGTACTGGGGAGGGGTGGCAGCAGTCTCCTCTACAGCTATTTGTGACTTGTGCTTCTGCGGTGGGGTGGGCTTTAGTCCAGTCTCTTTAGCTATTATTTCTGCTGAAGTGTCCTGTTTCATGGCTCTGAAAGTAATTAAATGTAACATGTTTATAATTATTTGTTTACCCTATGCTGTACATAACATGCAATTTGCTAATAGGAATAAACCTAGGTCCGCATTTCTACAGTTTTACATTGTAAATGTATGTGCATGGAGGTTTTCTTTTCAATGTGTGTTTGCTTGTGTTCCACATGTTAAGCAGGTAGGGGGCACCGACAGGAAGTTAAGTCAAAGGTCCCAGTATGGTCTTTTTTTTTCTCTATGTGCATGTGATTGTCTGTTACCTTATAGGAGCCAGTTGGAAAATGCAGTTCACATAAGAACTAAAACAAGAAGAATACCTCAAATATCTATAAATATTTAAACTAATTGGAACTTTAATAGATTTCTTGTTGTATTTGTACAATTTGTGGATTTTAACTGAGGTGGGTTGTGCAATGGAATCAATCTATTAACAAGTTAACATCCGTGTCCATAATTATAATATCACCACTGACACCAGGGTCCATAATATCGCCACCTCGAGAAATAGTGTGCTTTAAGATATTTTTACTGCAACATACTTTTGGTATGGACTCCTGCACACCTCAAATGTACATACCTACGGTATGTTGCATTAAAAATATCTTAAAGCACACTATTTCTCAAGGTGGCAATATTATGGACCCTGGTGATATTATGTACACAGATGTGTACATGTAGTTTCACAATATATATGAAATAATACTTACACATTTAACCTTGGCATTTCCACCTTTCCCTCAGAATATTTTGCCATAAAACTTTTTGTTCTTTGCTGCTCTTTGGTCAGCAGTTTATCATCTTGATTTGCAGATACTGAGATGTTGTCATAAAGTTTGTTGACTTCTGTTTTATTGCTGACATTCTGTTCTGGAATTTCCTCAATATCATTGTGGGGTAGTGTCTCTTCTTCTATTTCACACTGTTCTTCCTCTTCCATGTCTTCCTGTATTGTTGTGATTTCCTGAGATGAAATCCGCATCTTCTGTAGTTTCTCCATTGCTGACTCTATTTCCTCTTTTTGATGGATGAGTTGATGAAGTCTTTTCACCATGGCAATAATCCTTGCACCTTTGTCTGGCAAAGAATTCAGGAACCTCCTGGGTTGAAAAAAATCTGGTTGTGGCTTCTCTGAGATTTTATAATACCATATTCTATAAAACTCTGCGACCAAGGAGGTTCCTTGCTCTGTCAATACATTACAAGGAGGTTATAGAACTGTGAGTTACAATCTACCTTGATACCTACAACCTCCTTGATACCTACAATCTACACAAAAAGAGAGTGAATAAAAAGTTGCTCGATTTCCGTGTCTCCTGGAAATGTGTTCCGTAAAAGATAAAGATAACAACTAGAAAGGCCAATATTTGCTTTGGAGCAAATACAGCGATGGTTTCACCACATTTTACCACATGGCAGGGAAAGAATGAGAAACACAAGGGAAAACAATGATTTACATTGATATAACTATAATATGAAGTAACATACAACTAAAACAACAGTTGGATAGCTATTCCCTACTTTATTGGTTAGGATTTTTAATTGCATAATGCAAACTGTTGATTTTCAAAATAAATAAAAAAAACGTTCATGCCCCGCATTCCAATGCTGGAGCAGAAAAGCTTGAAATACCTACCAAAACACTTGAATAAAGACATACTGTCAGTATGGAAATGCTCTGTGCAGGTGTTAATCAAGTTAAATCCCAACAGCCAATCAGCAAGAAATGCTCTGTGCAGGTGGAAATGCTCTGTGCAGGTGTTAATCAAGTTAAATCCCAACAGCCAATCAGCAAGAAGTATAGAGGAAAGCTGCATGCCTATTGGTTGATGCCCTGCATTCCATTGTGATGACTCATGCCCAGACGTGGTAAACACGGCACACTAACACAGTAATACATTTGCTATAACACAGCCAAAAAACTCAAATAAAACCATTCTAAAAGCCTGTATCACAAAAATTTTAAAAACGCCTAGGGGTATTTGCCCACTGTACCTCCATACCAAATTTCAGGACATTAGGCCCTAAAATGAAGAAGCTGAATCCATTTAAAAAATGGCAGGAGGAGAAGGGGGAGGAGGAGGAGGAGGAGAAGAAACATCAGAAAAAGCAATATGGGTTCACCACCACTTCGTGGTGTGGTGAACCCATAATCATCACAACACTCAACAGCATGCGAAATGTAACATCAATAGTCATCACAACCTGTTGTTGAGGAGTGATTCCTGCCTCCGTAAAAGGTCCACCAGCTCGGCCTTAGACTTTCCCTCCATGTCTCCCAGGTGCCCCTGTCGCTCTTCGGCTGGAACGTTACTCATTCTTGATTTCGTACTAACGTAATTTCCTCTGCAGTTAATACATGTGGCTGTTAAAGAAGGACGAAAGGAGGCAGGCTGATATAAAGCTCAAAGCTAGGGAGGAACGTGCATCAGCATGGAGCAAACCATTTTCTCAAATATGGGAGCAAACAATCTCATGATCTAACGTTAACGTTAGTTTATCTTGTAATAAAAGTGCTTTGTTTCCAATCAAGGTTACAAAATATTTTTTTAACTTAATATTTGTTTAAATGCCATTCAATTTGTTTGTAAAACTGCATTGTATCTGTCCTTTTCGATTATTGGGGTTTCCACCCCGACTACTAATGGTCTCCTCCGACTAAGACATTTGACCTCAAGATGGCGTCGAAGTAACACATGTTCACACACACAGTAGAGAAGCTGGTGTAGAGCGTTTTAATTTGAATACGTCAATAATTTGTATTTTGTGCAATATTTCAACAATGGAGGAGATAGAGGTGGTATCTACAGTCTGTCTGGTCTTCACACTGTGCATGTTTTCCGCAGGAATGTGAGCAAAACTACTTCCAACTTTCGTATAAATTTATTCACAGCACAGTCAAAACACCATAAATTTGTTTACCAGGGTGGCCTAGATAATATATAGGCACCAAGAGTTAAATACCTAGAGAGACTTTTTGACTCTGAACTGAACCATGCGACAATGAGCACCAAGTGACCACGTCTAGCGATATATTAGACGTTAAACAAGGACAACAACAACAACAAAATAATATGATAAAAGTACTAATTTGAAAACCCAAAGAAAGCAAGGAACTATTAACATTATTGATGTATCTATGATGACATATGTGCATTTTAATGAACTATTGGGTTTTGAGATGTAAGCGATTTATTAACTCTCCGCATAACTTTTGTCTATATAACCAAGGTTTGATATAACGTTATATAACGTTAACGTTGTATCAGATTGTATCTCATTGCCCTGTATTCTGCCAACATGTAACGTTACAGCCCAGACTGCTGGAGGATGTGGAGGACCAGAAGTACCCAGAATGTTCCATTTCTTCCCTTCCTGGTAACCTGCATCAAGTAGGTACCATTTCTAAAGTACAAAAATTGTAACGTTAGCTTATAACGTTGATCTATTTCTCACAACTCATCTTTATATTCACATCAATGCAGCTGAAATTGTTTATTTTAACTTTATGGTGGCCTGGTGCATAATGGTATATTTGTTTCAGGGACATTGTTCTTATTAGATTCAGATGAAAAGTTACTAGATATGGCAAGTATACGAAAGCCACGCCTTCCGCACTGGTGTTCCAGTGCTGTTTCAGTAGTCAAAACGGCGTCAGCACTGTTGAAATTTAATCAAGCACTGGGCTTCCAGTGCTGAATGGCTTTCTTCCAGTGCTGAAGCTCGACCAGCACTGGGTTTCCAGTGCTGAATGTTGTGTGTCTCTGACTGAGTGCTGGTGTTCTTGTGCCGAATGCCTCTCTGCACTCATACTTTGCTCAGATATGTCTTTTTTTTTCAGTAATCTGATATGGCTGTACTATGGTTTGTGGCGACAAGACTCTACCCTGATCATAGTCAATGCTGTTGGAGCACTTCTCCAGTCCATCTGTATGTTCACATACATGGTCACCTCTAAACAGAAGGTAGGTGTTTATTTGATACGTTCCTCCAGTCAAAATGTTCCCAAATTTCATGGTCTGATGCAGAAAGAAGTCTTCAGTAGCCAATGTCGTATTTATATATTTTTGTGTGTGTGTGGTGTATTTGGAACTCGTGTCAAAAGTATATTTATTTGATTAATTTATTTATTTCCTGTATGTGTACACCTATGCCTTCACCTGTTTAAGCTGTTACTATGCTGGTTTGTACCTTTCAGAGCAGGCCCATGAGTCAGATAGTTGTGGGTGTGGCTTTGCTGACCACCCTGTATCTGTACCTCACTATAGCCATCACCAGTCACACTGTCCTTGTGGACCGACTGGGGTTGGCAGGAGCTGGCATTACCATACTCATGTACACTTCTCCAATGATGGAATTGGTGAGTGTGCAAGATGTCCTGTACTTCTGTTTGTGTGAACTCTCTACTGTGGGATAATGTAACTGCACCCCTTGCTGCTTGAACAGTAATCCATCTATAGATACATGTAATTGAATTACCTGTCATTATGTAGCTAGCAGCTACCATTGATTGTGTTATCCAACAACATCCCTTTCAGGTCACTGTGATAAGGACAAAGTCCACCAGGTCCATCTCCAGGCCTCTGACAGTCGCCACATTCTTTGCTTCAAGCCTGTGGTTTTACTATGGCTATCTCTTGCAAGATCCTTATGTCCAAGTAAGTATGAAAACTAAGGAGGGGACTTTTGTGTTTGGCTTTGAATACTAGTAAGTACAAATGGTGCAAGATTCTAGGATAAGACATTTCTCTATATAAATCATGTTCCTCACAGAGTGCAATCATCCCTAAACCTTACAGTTTTCTTGTTTCTGTTTGCAGGTTCCCAATTTACCTGGGATCATTTCCAGCATTGCCAGGTTCTTCCTCTTCTGGAGGTACCCAGGGGAAAAACTAGCTTGATTTCTCATGCATGAGAACATGGAAACATCTAAATTGTGGAATAGCCACTACATCATATTGAGTATGGGATGGAAAGGGCAAGAGTTGTTTCTCTCAGGGATAAGATTCTTGTTGTTTTTTGGGTGTTATTTTGTCAATTTGTGCAGTTTGCAGACAAATTGTAACATACATTAGTGATGACATGGCATTGGGCTAGTAGTGTCATTTCTGTCAATATGTAACTTAAAATTCATTCCTTTTGTTGGACAACAGCTATGAATAGCCATAAATGATTATCAACTTTTGCTTTTCTCTTCACAGGATGTGTATTTTCTTTTAACAACTTGCAATAAATCACAAATTTTAGAATTATCATTATCAATTTTTACAGCAAATCTAATGTTACATGTACATTGTATATTTACATATGAAAAATGTAGGCTAGGTAGACTATTTTTTCCTTGATGTTTCATCATTAGTAGTTTTATGGAGTGTCCCAACCTCCATGGTTGTCTTCTAATTGGAAAATGAACAGCTGTGGTTGCTCATTTCCACCCAGGTTTACACGCCAGGGCCACGGCCTGTGATTGGCCACAAGGCCTCCACACGCCCTCCTCTCACCCCCACCAGCCAATCATAGAGGTTGACAGTTGGATCACAGTGCCCTGGGATGAGCCATACTTGGTCTCCTATCTGGAAGAAGTACAATATGTACATTCCAATGTTTCAAACTGAGATTTACAGTACTACATGTATTGTCTTATATGTACTTCAATACTACATCACTTACAAACATGATTGTAGAGGAGTTGGCTCTTCCTCATTGTGACAACATATTTCCATCACTCTCTAGTTCCCCCAGAGTCACTCTCATCTGTATTTGTCCACATACAATGTATACTGCAATTATTAGCCTCATGCCAGAAGGACATATTTTTATACTTTCTATATCTATGCCCACCTTATATGACCCCGGTGGTACCAGGACTCCATGTTCATCCCCTCCACAGTGGTACACAATATCAGTGTTGGGATAAACCTGAGGAATTGTGGAGCAAATGAAAGGGAGGAATAAATGCATAGTTCAAGCAATTAGTCAATCAAGTCTGATTG